CCGCATGTGGCTCGAGAGCCGCAGTTTGCCAACCACTGGCCTAGGATACTGTACTCCCAGCATGTACTACTAGCTGAAATTATCTTGTTTATTTAATCACTGGCTTCTGTGCTATCCTGTGTCCCCCACCCCAGCTTTAAAAGGTTAGCTCCGTGAACCAGCTTGCAAATAGAAGAGAATCTGACATATGGAAGGCACCCAGCAAACATTTGCTGTTTCAGTGAATCATACCAGGTCCTTTCAGTGAACCTGCCTTCCGCCGCTCCCTCCGCCTCCAGGTCATCCTGACCCCTCAAGCCTGAAGGGCCTGGGAAGCCCCGTCTTTGTACTGAAGACGCAGACGCTTCCATGTGCTGTGGTCCCACCCCAGAAGGACCTCTGTCCCCTCCTGACTGGGGGATGGGATGTGAAGGAGGGGGTGGGAGGTGGGGAGGGATTAAAGCAAGAGGATACACCCAGTCCAGCTTGAGTCTGCAGGAAGGCAGCTCGGAGCGCGTGTCCAGGCTGTAGGTGGGCACCAGCTCATCCGGGATCAGCATGGGCACAGGACGGCCCCTCAGGAACATCTTCACGGAGCCCTCCTCTGCCAGGACACCCCGAGAGGTCAGGTGCTAGCACCAGCCCCCACCCCTATTTCCTCTCCCCTTCAGGCTTCACTTTTAAAAAAAAAAATAGGTGGGGAAACTGAGGCCAGAGAAGCAAAAGCCTAGTAGCCAGGTCCCCAGACCTCCAGCTTCGGGTGTCTCTCCCAAGTAAGCCCCCAACCAAGCCCCGCCCCCTCTGCTCACTTACCCACGCTGAAGATAGCTTCTTTGGTTTTGCTGTCAGGACAGAACAAGAAGGAAAAAACAGTTATCCTTTTTATTAGGGAGCAGTTCAGAAAAGGAGAGGCACCGCTGCTTCGCCCCACCGCACCCGGGAGGCCTCTGATGATTAAAGGACCGGGGGCCGCGACAGGAGCGGAGCGCTGCCTCTCTGCAGGCCGTGTGCTTTGCTCGGTTGATCTTGCAGAGCCTAAGACACAGGCCCAGAGAGGCAGCGATCGCCAAAGATCACACAGCACGAAGCGGCAGGCACGCGATCCTGGAAGAGGGGAGTCGCCGGGGACCCCTCCCTCCTAAACAGCACGCTCTCCCAACGCTCCCCACCCCGGCTCCCACAGCGCCCCAAACTTCCAGCAGCAAGGAAAGCGGTGAAGGTTTCAGGGGAGGGGCGTGTCTCCACGTTCCCTCCGTCGGCGGAAAGGAGTGATGCTCGCGGGCCTGGGTCCCTGGCGAGGGGGACGCCTGGGACTCAGGCCCCGGGAGCGCAGAGAAGGAGGGGGTCTGCGAGGGTCTCACCAAGCTCCAAAGCTACTCATGGCGGCGGCTGGCGGAGCTCCGGGACCGGGGGTGGAGCCGGGACCGGCCCCGCCGCTTCCGGCCCTGGGAGGCGCCCGCGCCGCCGCGCCCCGCCCCGCCCTCCGCGGCTGACCCCGGGAGCCCGCGGGCCACACTGGGTCTCGGGTCCCAGGCGGTGGGTCCTGATACCGGGTTCTTTTGTTGGGGTGCGGGGGTTAGGGGAGAGTGTTGTTTGAGAACATGGACTCGGGGGCGTGTCTGCCTGCGTTCAAACCCCAGCCCCGCCACTGCCTCTCAGCGTGGACAAGTTGCCCAACCTCTGCCTCGGTTTCCTCGTTTTTAAAACGGGGATAATAGAGCACCTACTTTCCGGGGTGGTTGCAAGGATTAAATTGGTTCATTCATGTTAAGTGCCTGTACAAGTCTATGTATGAGTTTGCTGCTATTTGAATGGGGTTGAAATGTGTGTGTATTTTAATCCTGTCCCTGTCTTACTCTCGCTCCCCAGCCCGACCACGCCCACTACCTCCTGGCCCCGCCCAGTCCTTCGGTAAGGCTCCGCCTCCAGGAGTTGGCCACGCCCGACATTCCGATCACACCCACTGGACTGATCCCGCCCCTGAGTTGATTGCCTCTTGACAACTGACCTCCCCGCCTCTGGTCCCGCCAGGCATTCGGACTACGACCACTTTCACGTGATCCAGTCCTCGAGCTGAGTCCCTCCACATCCTGCGATTTGGCCAGGCCCACCTATGACCTCGCCCATTTCCGCGGGGCACTGACCCAGGCTCCGCTCCACCCGGCTTCCTGCGTCTGACTCGTCCCCACCTGGTGGCAGCCCCAGGGACCCCGGCCCCGGGTTCTGATTCGGCCCAGGCTGACATTCGGGCCACGCCCTCCAATTCCAATCACGCGCCTACCTCTGGATCCCCCATTCCCTGCAGAAACTCCACCTGAGACTCAATGGGAATTCTCCTTGACATTCATTCATTAGCCCACAAACCCAGCTTCTCTCTGACCTCTGCCCGGGCTCACCCAGGAGACCCGGACTATCCACGCCCATGTTCTAATGGGGCCCCTGAGGGTTTTAACCACGCCCCTCGGCGTTGGCTCCGCCTCTCCCGGCCTTCCGTTTCCACCACGCTATCTCAGACGGGTCCCTCCAGGCTTCCGGCACGGCCCCCGTCTTCTGAACCAGATGATCGCGTGGCCTGGGGCATCACCCTAAATTCCCCATCCTTTCCGATGCCTATCTGAGGTCTTGGCCCCACAGTCTGTGACCTGTCCCCGCCTCCGACACTCACCCTTCCTTTTTGGCGCTACAGTTGCTGCTAGAGGATGTGGTGCGGCTGCGGGGGTCTTCGCGGCGCACCGAGGCGAGGCGTTCTGGTGACAAGTAGCGGCGGGCACTGTGAAGACGACAGAGCACACAGTAGGGGCGGGTCCTGGGAGGCCAGCAGGCGACTGAGGGCGGAGGGCGAGGACCTCTGGGCACCGTTCACTACTGGAGTTCGGGCACATGCGTCCATCCCTCTCCGTATAAACTCTGTTTCCCACCAGGTCTCAGAGGAGGCGGGGGACCCCAGCGGCTGCGCCTTACCTGTGCCGGGAGGTGGCCTCCTTCTTGGGCGAGGAGGGGGACGTGGCATAGCCGCCCACGCGCCGCGGGGGTCCTGAGCCATTGAGGGGCGTCCTGGTTGGGAAGGCCTTTCAAGAGCTGACACACTAGAGAGATGGGGGTGAGGGGGACAGAAGCAGGTGAGGGTGAGGTCCCCAGCCCCGGCCCCCTCCCTATCTCAGCCCCCCGGGTCTAGCGAAGATACCCGAGGGCTGTGGTGCCCAGGCGCGGGGGGCGCGCGGCCCTTGGGGGTGCTCCGCGCGCGCAGCGCAGCGCCCTGCTCCTCGCACGCTCTTAGGCGACGCAGCGCGTCGGCCAGCGCCGCCTTTAGGACCGCCAGTTCGTCTTCCTGCAGCTGCAGCCGCTGCTCCAGCGCCGACACGCGGTCGTCCACCTCCATGCCGCTCGTACCGGACAAGTTGTCATCTGGAAGGCAGGGGAGAGCTGGCTGCGGGGGCCACCCCGGAGCTCCAACGCCCGAAGGGTCCCTCCTGCCATCCCGGGTCTCAGCGGGGCCGGCCACGCTTCCTTCCTCTCCCGCAACCAGCGGCTGGGACGCTTGGAGACGGGCCAGGAAGAGGGCCCGAGCGGGAAGGAAAGCCCCACGGCGGCTCTCACCCCTTGCCTCCTCGCTCTTCTCCGCTCAGCGCCCTGGAGGTGTGACCTTAGGGAAGTCCCCTCCTCTCCTCCAAGCGTCTACGAATCAATAGACTTTCGACCCTGGTTTTAAGATGCTATGACTAAGATGCTAAATATTTATGAGTGATATCAGCGCTTTAAAGATGACATCAACTTATTCCCGGTGACACCAATGTTCTAGAATTGATTTCTAGAGACGATCAATATTTTATCGCGAGGACTAAGTTCTCTCTCTCTGTTTCTAAAACTCTCCAAGCCAAAAGGTCATGCCTGGTCCCTCCTCTTCCCATTCGGTCCCCGCTATGGGGTTGGACCCTAGCGCCGCCTGCAAGGACGGGGTTTCTGCGCCCCCTGGCGGCAGATTTGAGGGTTGCAGGTAGCGCATCGCAGACCCAGGAGACCCAAACTCTTTTTTAATCGGAGCTTCTCTCCGCTGTTCCTCTGTTCCCCTTCTTTTTCTCGCTTCTGTACCCCACGCCCTAGATTCGTTTCTCCTTCTCCTTCCAGCCCTTGGGTGCAGCCAAATAACTCCTCCATCGCCCCTCCCGCCCGTTTCCCCGACATGGGAGGGGCGGGCCACCGAGGTGGTCCCCCTTTCCCCGTCCTCTCAGACCACTCATACCCAGACTCATTGCTGACAACAACCGAGGAAGCCCTGGCTCCCCGCCGGGTGGGGTTGAAGGCGGCAGCATTAACAGGGACGGGGCGTGGAGGTCGCATCTGCCATCCCGAAGCTGTAGGCTGCCCCACCCGCCCGCTGGTCTCTGCAGTGCAGCTCTCGGCCCCTCCCTTCCCTCCCCCCGCCCCCGGGGGGCCCAATCGCCTGCCGGACCTCACCAGCCCTGCCCCCCTCCCACTGCCTCTCTGGTCCGGTGCCTGGACCTGCAGAGGAAGGTGGGGGCCTCTCAAGGTCGGGGGGCGGGGGGAGAGAGCTGTCAAGGCTTGGAACTCAAGAGGAGGGAATCCCAGGGTCCCGCTGGCATCACATATGAGAAGGAGAAAAACTAAGGACGGAAGTTGGAGAAATATACAGAGACTCTCCAAAGGTCACACAGCCAATAGGTGAGGGGCAGGCGGGCCCAGTCACCTCTTTGTATTGATCCCCCTTTTTCTACCATTAATAGTACTACCCCAAAAGTGAGATCTGCTAGAGAGGGTTTACATGTGGCAGACACTGTTCATGCAAAACGCTTAGCACATTTCAATGTTATGGTACCTAATGCTCCCAGCAACTCTGGTAGTTGTGCTACTATACCCATTTTAGGGGGAGGGGAGGAAAGGGGGGACTGAGGCTCAGAGAGGTTAGATTACTTGTACATGAACACACAGCCTTTTAGCAGCGGGAAAGGGACTCAGCGCTGTCACTCTGCCTCTTCGAGAGGGAATGGAGGACAAAATGAGCCAGCATCCTGACCCTCTGCCAGCTGCAGTGGTCCCTGTCCCTGGGGTGTGCACCCAGGGACGCAAGCCTCTAAACTGGAAGAGGGCCCCCACCCAGAGAGGCCAGCTGCATGCTGAGGCCTCGGCCTGCCCCCACCAAACTATGACTCAAGTCCTCTGATCCCTCCAGACCATCCCCCCACCCTCAGCCCTCAGTGCCCATTTCCCTCCCATCTCCCCTCCCCTCTGCCTCCAGCACCCCTCATCTGGGCGGGACACCCACAATGGCCCTTCTGGTATCATACTCATTTGTCTAGGGAGAAGAAGTGAGTCTTAATGGATGGAAGGTGTGGGGCCTAAGGATTTTGGGGGGGGGGGGTTAGTAGAGGTGAAGTCCTCCCAGGTCCCACACCAAGTCCACAGCCAATACCAAACCCCCCCTCCCCCTCATCTGTCTATCCCTCTGCCAGGGAGAAGGGGAGGGTGTCCCAGAGGATTGAGAGGGGAAAGGGAGGACAGAGTTAGACCTCCAGGCCTTTGCCTCTTCAACCCCGAGGGGGAGGGGGGAGAAGAGGAGGGTGGGAGCGGGGGAGGGGGGTCCGGGATCAGGGCTTTGAGGATCAGGGACCTTGCTCTGGGGTCAGAGTCCTTCTGGGAGAGAAATGGAGATCTTCAGCAAGGGGCGAGGATGGGGACTTGGAAGCAGGAGGTTGGGGCAGGAGGAGATGGGTCCAGCGCTGGGCAGGGCCAGGGTCGGAAGGGTGGAGGGGGGTTCTCACCGTTGCAGTATTGAAGCAGCGAGGACGTGTCATAGAGGCCGCAGAAGGCCGGGCCGCGCTCCGCCATCGCCCCGACACAGCCACCGCCGGAGCCCCCGGCCCCAGCCCGGGCCCGGTCCCCACCCCAGGCCCTGCCTCCCGTTGCCATAGCAACACCCTTCGTTCCAGCATCCCCGGCACGGCCCGCCCGGCATCAGGCGGCCGGCGCCGGGCCTGGCACCGGGGTCATCCCTCAGGATGCCCAGAAGGTGGGGGGGTGTCGGGACACCCCCTGCTAAGCCCCCCCAACACAATCCTCAAGCCCGGATTGGTCGGGTCGAGATCCCCCACCCCCGGTACCGTCTGGTCCAGCCCACAACCTGCGCATATTCTCTCTAGACCCCCACTTGTCCGTTCAGGACCAATGAGAGCCTGTCGCGCAGGGCCTTCCACCAATAGGAACACAGAAGGATTGGAAGGGGCAGGGCCTTCCCTGCTTTTCAGCCATAGGCTCAGCCCCGACTCTAAGAGGAAGATCGGGTGGAGGAAGACACTTCCATATCCCCCCAAACCTTCTCCCCAATCTCTTACTGGATTTCCCAAAAGCCCCCTTTGCAAGGCTAGAACCCGACTCTGGGATCTTAAATCCACCCAGACACCCACTAGCTCCGCCCTGGAACTCTGATTCTCGCCCAGTTCTTAGAGCCCTTGTTTATTAGATCCAGACCCGCCCCCGAGGTCTTAACTCCACCCCAGAATCCTGCGGGAGACCCCGAGGGCAGTAATGCTCGGTCCGGAGCCCCTGACCCAGCCTTCTTATGGGATTAGCCACGCCCCCGGAGGTTAGGCCCCTCCCGCAGCCTGTACCTCCTTAATCTTTCCTTCCACTTTCATATCAGCCGCCCCTAGTTCCTCCCCTACAACCCTCATCTCCCGCAACTTCAGTATCCAGTCCGGGTGTTGACACAGGTCCAGCTCTGCCGCCTGGCCGGCTGGCGGTGTCTGCAGGAGCCGGCTCCGAAGTTGGGGGAAGATGGGAGGGTAGAACACCTGACAGTGGGTTTAAAGAATGATGGACCACCTCCCCCAAGTCCCCATGGAGGGTCACCACCCAGCTAGACATGACCCATGTTTAGGGAGGGGAAGCGAGCCCAACGCGGGAAGAGATTTGCTTCTGGAAACACAGGCTGACACTGAGAGCACAGCGCTTTGGGACCAGATGGATCGGGGTTTGATTCCCGATTCCACCACTTTCTCCTTGTGACTCTGAGAGTCAGTTTCCACATCTGGAAAGTGTGTGTGTTACGGGGGACTCGGGGAGGGCGCGGGGCGGGGGGGGGGGGGCGCCTATCACGCCTACCTCTTTCATTCATTTTTTAAAATTTTGTTTTATTGCTTAAAGTATTACAAAGAGTATTACATATGTCTCCTCCCACCCCCCCTTGACATTCCCCGGGCCTCCCCTACCCCTCAGTGTCTTGTGTCCATTGGTTATGCTTATATGCATGCATACAAGTCCTTCAGTTGATCTTTCATTCATTTAAAAACGTTCACTGAGCCCTAGCTGTTTTGGCTCAGTGGATAGAGCGTCCGCCTGCAGACGGAAGGGTCCCAGGTTCCATTCCGGCCAAGGGCACATCCCGGGTTTCAGTGCTCGATCTCCAGTGTGGGGCGTACAGGAGGCAGCAGATCAATGATTCTCTCACATCATTGATGTTTCTATCTCTCTCTCCCTCTCCCTTCCTCTCTGAAATCAATAAAAAATATATTTTTTAAAAAATTAAAAATGTTCACTGAGGTGTGGCTGATGTGGCTCAATTGGTTGGGTGTCGTCCTGCCAACTGAGAGGTTGCCTGTTAGGGCACATGCCGGACTCGATTCCTGGTGGGGCGTGTGCAGGAGGCAGCCGATGGGTGATATTTCTATCTCTCTATCCTTCTCCCTTCCTCTCTCTCTCTAAAAATCAATAAAAAAAAATATTTAAAAAAAAAAGAGCCGAAACCAGTTTGGCTCAGCGGATAGAGCGTCGGCCTGCGGACTGAAAGGTCCCCGGTTCGATTCCGGTCAAGGGCATGTACCTGGGTTGCAAGCACATCCCCAGTGGGAGATGTGCAAGAGGCAGCTGATCGATCTTTCTCTCTCATCGATGTTTCTAACTCTCCCTTCCTCTCTGTAAAAAATCAATAAAATATATTTTTAAAAAAAGAAAAGAAAAAAAGAAAAGAAAGTCCATTGGAGAAAAGCGAGAGTTCAGGGAGATGACAGTTTCTTTTTGGCTGAGCTGCTGGGGAGGCTGATTTCTTGTAGGGGATGCGATGTACATCTTCTCCTGTTGGGGCCTGTTACTGACGATTCTCAAGGATTCTTCTGTTGAAGTGTGTAATTGACAATTCTTCTTGTAACTGACATTAAGTGGTACTGTGTGAGAGCTCCCCCTTCTGGCCTCCTAACGTCCCTGTTAGTGAGGTTTCCCTTTATTAATTTCCACAATCAATAATGGGTCCTGAGTGATGACCAAAATAGATGCGGACGATGATCACAGCTAATTGCGTTACTGAGAGAAGCAAAGCGGGGATTCAGACTTCCTGCCTGGCGAACTCCTGCTTCTCCCACCCTGCACCCTGATGAGCTCAGATTCTAGCAGAGGGGAAGTCACACTCCTACGTACAGACTTGCAGCAGGCTGCCATGTGCTAAGGGCTGTTACCGAGTTTTCCCAGAGGACTGCGGGAGCCCAGGGGAGTTCCGATCTTGCGAGATCCATGTGCTGGGCGAGTGGAGCCAAGGTGTGCATGAGGGAACCGCAGGCAGGAGTTCAGGCTGGCAGGCTCTATGTTCCGAGGACAGGGCGTAGTGGGGGGCGACACACAAAGATGAGTTAGGCCTTGTCCTTGAGGTGTCAGGATCCATGTGAGGACAGTGACAGCTTTTCTTTCTCTGCAAAATGGGAGCTATCCCAGCACCCACTTCCCAGGGGAGAAGAGCAGATTCAGTGAGCTCATGCCTGTCAAGTGCTCCGCACATGGCTTTTGGGTACAGCTAATGGAGCTGGATTTATTACAAGCGCTCTCACAGAGAGATGTCAAGGGCGGGAGTGGGGAGGGGGAGGCTGGGGAGTAGGGGGCAGGGCTCAAGGTCATGCTTCGTCTTTTCTCTCTGCCTCTAGGCTCCCTTTTCCATGCTGCTTTTCTCTCTCATCTCTGTCTCTGTGTCTCTGTCTGGAAATTGGGTCATTGATCCATCACTTACCAGCCATGTCACCTTGAACAAGTTACTTAGCCTCTCTGAACCTCACTTTCTTCATCTGGAATATAGAGGTGAAAATACCTCTGCTGCAGGTTTGCTATGAGGATGAAATGAGACACATACATGTAAAATGCCCATTATTTGGTACCTATTATTATTCATTTTTTTGTTAATCCTCTCCTGAGGATATTTTTTCCATTGATTTCTAGACAGAGTGGAAGGGAGGGGGAGAGACAGAGAGAGAAACCTCGATGTGAGAGAGATACATCAACGAGTTGCCTCCTGAACATGCCCACCTGGGGCTGGGGATGGAGCCTGCAACCGAGGTATGTGTCCTTTTTTAAAAATATATATATTTTTAATTGATTTTTTACAGAGAGGAAGGGAGAGGGATAGAGAGTTAGAAACATCGATGACAGAGAAACATTGATCAGCTGCCTCCTGCACACTCCCTACTGGGTATGTGCCTGCAACCAAGGTACATGCCCTTGACTGGAATCAAACCTGAGACCCTTGAGTCCGCAGGTCAACGCTCTATCCACTGAGCCAAACTGGTTAGGACTGAGGTACGTGTCCTTGACTGGAATCAAACCTGCGACCCTTCAGTCCATGGGCCGATGCTGTATCCACTGAGCCACACCAGCTAGGGCGGTACCTATTATTAATTATTATTGTTATTATTATTATTATGTTTTTCTTTTTCAAAACATATTTTTATTGACTTCAGAGAGGAAGGGAGAGGGAGAGATAGAATCATCAATGAGAGAATCATTAGTCGATCAGCTGCCTCCTACACACCCGCTACTGGGGATCAAGCCTGCAACCCAGGCATGTGCCCTGATGGGTAATAAAACCCTGACCTCCTGGTTCTTAGGTAGATGCTCAACCACTGAGCCACACCAGCCGGGCTGATTTTGTTTTTCTCTCAGCTTCTTTATTCCTCTCTTTCTAACTATTTCTTTCTTTGTGTTTCTCTTCTGTTCGTCTGTCACCCTATTTGGGTCTGTGCTTGAGCTCCATTAGGGCAGGGCAAGGCTATCTTGGCCACCCAGGTCCCCAGCCTTGCCAAGCCCAGCCCTGGTACATAACAAGTACTCAAAACGAATTAAACTCTGGTCTGTGTCAAACCATGTTGGGCAATGCTGGGGACCCAGCAGTGACTGAGACAGCCCCAGCCCTGTCTCAAAGAGATCACAATCCAGGAGAGGAAATATGTGTTGAATGAATGAATGAATGAATGGATGGATGAGTGAATTAGCTAGCTTTAAAATGGGCTTGGAAGACTCAACAAAAAGTGGGTGGAGGCATTTGAAGCCGAGAAAACGTCTAGAATTAAGGTTGTGGGAGGAGGGACTAGGAAGAGACTGAATAGTTAAGAAGTCATGGGAAGAGAAGGCTGGAGAGCTCAGCAAAAGACTTAAAGGCGCCCTAACTGGTTTGGCTCAGTGGATAGAGCGTCGGCCTGTGGACTCAAGGGTCCCAGGTTCGATTCCGGTCAAGGGCATGTACCTTGGTTGCGGGCACATCCCCAGTAGGGAGTGTGCAGGAGGCAGCTGATCGATGTTTCTCTCTCATCGATGTTTCTAACTCTCTATCCCTCTCCCTTCCTCTCTGTAAGAAATCAATAAAATATATTTTTTTAAAAAAAGACTTAAAGGCCGTGGAGAGGAGCCTGAGTTTTCTCCTGAGGGCACTGGGGAGCCACGGCAGGTTCTGAGCAGGAGTGGGACAGGGTCAGGTTTGTGCTTTAGCATGACCACTCTGACTGCCTGGCTGCCCTATTGGAGGGCGGGGGCGGGTGGATGAAGAGAGAGGGGCCCAACTAGGGTAGGAGACCCCAGAGAGGAGGGTCCTGAACCAGAGCAGGGGCTGCGGGGAGAGGGAAGAGGAGCCAGATTCTAGAACCGGGAGGAACATGCCTGGACCAGCCTGCTGTCCTTGAGCTTCAGGGCTCACCCACCACCACCACCAGGGGGCAGCCAAGGGTACAGGTTTGAATATCTTGGTTTCTCCCAGGACAGGGAGGTTTGCACCCCCCATTTAGGGGTGGGGTTAGAACTGTCTGCGGGGTCCCAGATGAGAGGCCTCCTGCTCTCCTGCCCCCATCCCGGCCTTTTGGGCTTTTGGAGCCCCCACCCCACCAGCACAAGATTATGTCAACACAGCCCCGCTGTTTCTGGCCAGGACAATATTTGCCCTCTGGATCTGGGGAGGTTGCTATGGAGATGTGCTGCAGGGGGAGGTGAAGGTGGGGTGGGGGGAGCGTGTGTGGGCGAGCGCGCACACACACGCACACTCACACACACATATACACGCACACACACACATACACACGCGCACACTCACACACACAGTCCAGAAGAGGGCAAGGGGAGCTGGGCCTCTTGCCTCATCTCTGAGTGATTGTGTCTGAGTTTTGAGAGAGTTTACCCACGCCCATCTATCTGTGTTCTAAACCGCCCCCCCCCTCCCTATCTCTCAGGTCTCTTCCTCTGTCCTTCACTCTCTCTCTCCGGGTCCCCATCTCGGTTTCTCCATGTCTCTGTCTCTCTCTGGGTTTCGTGTCTCTACGTCTCTGTTTCTCTTTGGATCTGTGTCTCTGTCTCTGTCTCGGACGCCGTGTTGCGTGGTGTTTCCTAGGCCCCTGTCCCTGGCCTGTGTGAGTGTGTGCGTCCCTGTCCCTGTCGCTCTGTCTCGGCCTCTCTGGATCCCCATGCTTGTGAGCATGTCTCTCTCAGCCGGTCTCTCTACTGCTGTCTCTCATTCTCTGTATCTCTGTCTTTCTGTGTGTGTGTGTGTGTGTGTGTGTGTGGCCTCCTCTCAGCCGTCCTGAATCTCAGGAGGCTGGCCCAGGCGCCCGTTTCTGGCCTCAGTCCCCATAGAGCATGCCCTCTCCCCATCCCTCTCTGCCTCATTGCTCCTGCACCATCTGCTGGCACCCCAGGCCCCGGCCTGCTCCCACAGGCTCTGCTTGGCTGAGCAGCCCCATGGGGGAAGCACAGGCCCTCCGGCTGCCTCCCCACCACTGCGTCCTGAGCCGAGGGCACTGCCTGGTCATTGCTGGGTGGGGAGAGAGGCCAACAGCCTGGAAACCCAGGGGCAATGAAGGGGGAGAAACAGACAGACAGGCACCAGCGAGAAGATGAGGGAACAAAAAAGAGAAAGGGGAAAGTTTAAAGATTGGCTAGAAGAGGCT